ATATATATATATATATATATATATATATATATATATGATAAATGATACTCAGTTTTATTTATTTGAAAAGCATTAAAGAGTTATGCTGTAATTATGTACATAAACAAATGGACTTAAATTATTTTTACTAATGGAGAAACTGTATTTTAGTAAATAAATAATGTGTTCATAATATAAGAGGTGTTCTATTCTTGTAATGAAACAGTAGAAATTCCATTTTTTTAATACATAATAATCCTACATTCTAATATTGTAGCAATAATAAGAGAGAAGAGAAATCTTCAAATTTGGTAAGGACTGAAGGTTACAAAATCTTTGGTCAAAAAAGGTGATCATCTTTGAAATGACAATTGATATAAGCATGGAGTGTTGTAGATCTTATACAAGAAATATGCTCAAATTATTCCATTCCTAAGGGTGAGAAACTAGTCTTTTTCAAATCCAGATGGTAATACGGTAATGTGGTTCCCTTTGCAAAGTGTAAAGAATACAGTCTATTCATATTACGTAAGTGTATATTAACACTCCATGTGATGAGCAATGATACCAGCTAATGCAAAACAAAAAAAAAATTCCTTTGCTGACATTTATGCTGTCAACACAAGAAGAGATAAATGGCTGTGTTTTTTAGTCTGTTGGATGCATAGAAATATGCACACCATTGGATTGAATTGTAGTTAATGGTTAATGGTTAAAACAAATATATGTGTTAGACATTAAAGTTCAAATAGGAAAATATGTGGCAAAAATGGTAAAACGAGTTAATGATTAGGACAAAATGTGTTAGATGTCAATGGTTGTGGAGCACTATAGGACTGTATGGTAGTGAAAAGGGTAAAGACGGGGGAGCACATGGGGTAAAGTGAGGATTAGTAAAAGGAGGTAGGGGGTTAAGGGCAAACAGTGATTAGGGCAAATGGATAGTATCTATGTGTCTGAAAAAGGAAGAGGAACATTGTATGAGGAATACTGGAAAAAAAACATAAATTAATTGGCAGGTAATAAGGGGAGAAATGGGTGTTGGAGGATTAGGAAAAGAATTCCAGGAATGAGATAGGAGAACAGGGGAAGGAGGTGAAGTAGCAGGAAGAACATCAGCAGTGAACAGATCTTGAGAATGACACTGCTGTAACAGATGGGAGTCACACGAGCATCCAGATGGGAGAGGTAAAGATAATAGGGAAAGAAAAGCAGATGGTGCACATGGTGTACATTGAGAAGGTAGGGATGGGATGTGTTGGGAGAGAGTGGGAGAAAATGGGGTAGGGGGAATTTAAGGAGGGGTATGTATATCAGCAATTACTTTTAATGTAGAGGGAACGGGTGTAGAGAGATTGAAGCATTAATGAGAGAGAGGAGCACTCTCGTAGGTCATGTTTAGGAAATTTGGGTTATCCTCAAGAGTTTCTAGAGGGAAGTTGGGCAGAGAAATCAGAGAAATGAAGGTTTTCCTTTGAAGAGAAGAGGAGACAGATGTCTGAGGAACAGAGGAAGAGGTGGGTATAGGAGAAGATGGGGTGGAAAGTTTATATATCAGATGCGTCCAGTAGAATAACAAGGAGAGCTAGGCATCAGGGATGTGCTTCCTGTCTAGGTTCTTATAGAGTGAGGCCTAGTTTGAATCTAAGAACTGCTACCTTAGACTCGAGCTTGCAGGCAGAGTAGCTCCTATGAATTACATTATTGGTCATCACAAGTGACATGTGCATGATTGTGCAGAGTATTTTAAATGGCCATGACCAAGTTGATCACATAGAGGGCAGCGGGTTCTGGAGTGACAAAGTGTCAACATTTCTAATGTCAATAGGGAAGGGTTAGCCAGATAGAACAGGACACTCCACCAATATAAACTTCATGGGGGAAGTCATGTGTGTGGAAGCTAATCTTGGTAAAATTGGTGTGGGACTTATGGTGACTCCGGGGAGGAATAGTGTACCACTGTACTGCCACTTCATTATTTTCAAAATGGCTGATAAGCAGGTCATTTTCACAGTCTGACCAAGGCATGAACAATCGGCAGTGTGGCAAAAGGAAACTTTGCCTACTTGCTTTTTGAAGAGGAGGATAGTGTCAGAGTAAGGAGCTGTAGGGGGAATCACAAAGAATCAATCTCACTTGGCTGGACTAAAAAGAGTATTCAAAAGGCTTAGTGGAAGCAGTAGAAGAGTGGAGGGGGCAGACAATGAAGAAGACTGTACAAGAGGAGTTGAAGTGCTGGATTTTGGGAGAGATTAAGGGATGTATTCTGAAAGTTGAGTAATAACCTGTGTGGATGATTTAGAATGGAAGGGGTAGCAGTTGCAGTGGTTGGAGACATGATCACCTCAGGGCCCCCATGAAGGGTTAAGGGCTAGGCAATTAAGCAGGGGAATACCTAGCCAGTGGCTCCCGGAGGCCTTTCAAGACTGATACAAAGCCAGCCTTTCATCCCTTCAACACAGCTCTTATACCTTAGGAAGTGACTGAAGAAGAGAAGGAAAGGGAAAGACTATGCAAAATTATGGGCTAAGGGCTGAGGCCCAAAGCAGGGGTGTTCCCCTACAATGGGCCTCAGTCCCCGTCTCCTATGCTCTCCCCAACAATAACAATAGGCATGAGATCTGGAAGGTTGAATCATATTTAGAGAAGAAAAAACAAAATTGTCTTTGCAATATGACCTGCTGATACATAGTGGATCAATTCATAGGGTCTTGATAGAAAGTCATGAAATTCTAGCTATATGCAGGGTTCTACACTTACAAAGATAAGAAAAGGTATGTGAAAATTAACTAGCAGGAGTGGATGAAAGATTGTAAGTCAAATGGTAACCAGGCCTGAGAGCTGAGAAGAAGTATAAGTGGGCTGTACCTGGGATATATGTTGTGTTTTCAGAATGTTTGCAACACATTGATATTATTATTTATGTGCATATTTGTTAAAATTTCTTAAAACAAGAGCATTAATTTCATTAATACTAATTTAACATTAATTTTGATATTGCATTTAGCTTGGGGACTGAAGTTGTAATACTGTCACATCATAGTGCTGTATGACTTTTGATGTCTAGCACATTTATCCGGTTTAACCATTAACCAATATGGTCACATGTCTCAATGATAATTTTAATTGAATTAGATTTGATGACTTTCCAGGTCAGTCTCGAATGTAGAATACTTGCATAATATCAACCCAGTCAATTATTTTGACAGTGTGGTATGGTGCACTATACTGCACATATGTTTCACTGCAAGTTAGATTTTCCATTAATTTCTCTAGCTTTACTGTATATTGTATATGATTGCACCCACAACATCAGACTGAACCGGCACAGATCTATGCTGGTATTATTTTCCCTCACATCACTATGAAAGTCCCTTCATCATTCTATGAATGTACTTCCACTTCTCATCATCCCATTGCAAGTATTATTGAAAGAACTTTCGTTTGTAAGTATGGCTGTTTTTTGTGTGGTGTGATGTCAATCCCTAATGAGTGTGTGAGAACCAAATCATGGTTAAGATACATTAGCCAGCAATTTAGGATTTCTTTCTTTAATTGATAAGCATCAATTCTTGGTTCAGCATCTTGTCTTTGGAGGACCTTCAGTATTTGTTGCGTTGTGTTTCTTGCATCTTGTGTGTTTATTTTGTGATGGCAGATTCTTGCCTACCCTATCAACTTTGTTTTCTATTTTTTTTCTTCTTTTCTTTTTGCAAACATCAGAGCCTTCAATAATTAATATGTAATGAAGCAAGATACCATCAAATTAGTAATTAATTTTTTTTTTTTTTTTTTTAATGATAATTCCTGTCCCTTTAAACTGTCATTCTTCCACCATTTTTTTTTTTTTTTTTCCAATTGTTTTTTTATATGCACTGTATAATGGACAATTTTGATATTGAAAACTAATATCACTTCATTTTAAATCTGTGCTGTGCATTTCTAAAGCATTGAATTTGCTTATAGAATTGGCTTCAACATTATGCAGAAGTAGTATGCTGTGAAATGAAGGTACTCAAAGTACATGATGTAAATGATAAATGAAGTATTTATCTTTAAAAGTTTGTATCCTTGGTATTTTGATTCTGATTCTATTTGTTTACCATTGATTTTCTCTGTCTCATGTAATTATATGTTGATTGATATGATTTTTATACTGCATAGTTTTATAATATAAAATCCTTTATAAGAATGGTAAACATATGTTTGATCTATGATACTTTTAAAAATGGCTTTAAAATAAAGCTTACTAGCATTAGGTGGATCTACAAGTGCTGAAATGACGTGACTTGTGCAAGCCAGCTCTTTCTTCACAGCCTCAAAGGAATAGCCCTGTGCTGCTATCTACATCACCATGACCTGTAAAAGTTATCACCCATGACAAGGGGTTAGCACCTCATAATAAGTCATCATTTCAGGCAAGATAACAGGAGGAGGGATGAACGAGACTAAATGCAATTTATAGGAAGTGATGTACCCGTAATAAGAGTGGATGAAATGATATACGTAAATATTCTATTATTTTGTAAATTTCAGTTTGGTTATATAAATACATTATTTTGTCAAGATGAATGAATAAATTGTATATATATGGTGGTTTCCAACTTATAGTCCATGGAGGCTTTATTTACACTACATTCCATTATTTTGTAAATTTCAGTTTGGTTATATAAATACATTATTTTGTCAAGATGAATGAATAAATTGTATATATATGGTGGTTTCCAACTTAAAGTATACTTTTTTTCCTTTTTTTTTTGCTTCATTTTCTGTTACCAAAAATATGATGTATATTTATTTGACTGAAATCAATATCCAAGTCAGCATAACCAATAAAAGTATTAAGATTTTCTTTAAATATTTATATTCAAGAACAAAAATGTGAACTGTTTGTTTTTATGTAAATATATTACAATAATTATGATAAACCCCTTTCCTAGTAAATGAAAAAAAGTTTCAAGAGTAACTACTACATGAAATAATTGAAATAACCATAAATGATTCTAACTGAAACACACAACCAAGACTTATAAATGTTTAATTGTCTGGAAGTCCTATCAACACAAATTATGAAAATGATACAGATTGTAAAGCTA